TAGACAGTGAAACCTCTAGAAGATTTGGTACGAAACTTTTTCTCACTAGCAAAATCACTTACGATTTTCACGAAACTTGATTGACTACGAAACCCTATGAGGGGTCTGTACAATCACACGATACCTAAAAAGGTTCCGTACATGAGGACGAAACCTTAAAAGTTCGGTAATGTACCTTTTTTTCTTTCAGGGTAGATGGTCAGATCTTTTTTTCTTTTGTTTCACTATTTTCTTCTATTGAATCATCATTATCATTATCTTGATATTATGCTTCAGCCTCTTTGTTTGACAAGATTTTTTAAAAGAAGCTGTTGATATGTTTGAATTTTTTTATTATTAATATGTTAACCAGCAAGTAAATTATAATAGAGACTGAAAATATGCAAAATCTCTAAAAAAAAATCGGAAAAACTTTCAAGATCTGAAGGTCTTCCCGAAGATCTGGCAACACTGGTTAACATATTCATATTTTCATTTAACTTTTGATCAGATGATAGTAGAGTGGTCCTGGAAACTTTATTAGAAGTGACCATAGTCACTATAACGGACGACATTTTATATTTATGAGTCCAGTACAATTAAAAGTAGTTAATCACTTTTTCAGTACTTACGTACAAGTACGAAAGAAACTATACCTGCACAATAGCAAGTACAAGTATAAGTAGATCCTTTAAAGTACAAGTAAAAGTACAAATGCATTTTTTAGAGTACAAGTAAAATACCTTTACTTGTTGTACTTGTACTCGTCCTAACTCGGCACCCTGCACCGAAACCCACGTCACACCCACACCCCACACAATCACACCCCAACTACCCCATACCCATACCCAAACCACTACTGATTCTTTTTCTCTGAGAAAGCCTTTCTCTAATGCAAAAAAAATTAAACTTGAAATCTGCAGAGACCGATTGCAAAATTTTGACTTGTTGACTCCGATTACCTTTGGTCAAACTTTATGAAAATTAAGTTTTTTTCAAAAAACCTCCACTTTAACTTTGATTTTTTTCACCTTAGAGTCTAAAGTACGCTTACTTTAAGTTTAAAGTTTAAAGTATTTTACTTTGAGTTTAACATTAAAGTGCTACCCCTAGTGGCTACTGGATAGGGCTCATCGACGTCTATATTGATTCATCCATTTTGACTCTTGATCTTCGTTGAAAACGAATCGTGAAAGGTTTTAGCAAAAAAACCGCGTCATCTGAGCATTTGTAAGCTGCTTTCAAGAGCATGGGAGCTTGAAATCAGGATTTCAAGGTATCCACTGGATAGAGCTCATGGATTGCTATCTTGATGTATCCATTTTGTCTGTTGGTCCCCTATCTGGGCGGATCGCGACAGGTTTTTATGAAGTTGAACGCTTTTCTCGTCTTTTTGAAGAGTAATTCAAGGAGAAACAGCAGACTTCAAGACTTCACGAGACTTCAAGCACAGAGACTTCAAATTTTTCAAAGACTTCTAAAGACTTCATGAGAGTTCAAGAGGCTTCACAGACTTCATTAGACTTCACGAGACTTCATTTTATGTTAAAAGCAATAGCTTAAGAGGACCCTCTTTCCGAGGTTTCTTGAGAACGGCTTGATGGAAGGTTATGAAACTTTCAGGGTAGATAGATCTGGATGAGTAGAGCAAAAGTTGTTATAGACTCGAAATTCCCAAATGCTTCTTTCCCAAAGATATTTACGGTCCAAGGGCCTAAAATAACCTGACCTTTTCTATCGCAAAAAATCCATACTTCGGTTTTTATGGCTGAAATTTTTTCTGTGGCAACTAGGATCAAATCGAGATGCGTCTTTTTTTCGAAAAATCTCGTTGGTACAGCTCAGAAGAGGCAAAATACTCAAGGCACTATCAAAATACCTGCTTTTTTTTCAATGGTGCTAATTCTGTGCAACCTATCAAAAATTCATAGGAACAATATTTCCAAGAGAAAAAAAGACAGCCCAATTTGACCAAAATACTCATAAAAAAACTTTTCAGTCTGATCGGTTATACCACGAGAGAGAAAAGGGGGAAAACTTCAATTTTTTTGTTGGAAAACCAAGTTCTGCTAAAAAAGCAAAAAAGTTGAGTTTTATTGATTTTTTTCAGCGTATTTTGTCGTTTTTCTCGAGTTTTTTATGTATAAAATGTAGATTTTCAGTTCTCAAAATGTGCTCACTAGATAGAGAGCATTTAATTCTATATATTGATCACAAAAAATGAAAAACGAAAAATCTGAAAATTTTGGGCCGGGAAGGAAGGGTCCCCTGAAAGTCTTCAAAAGACTTCATTGGACTTCAGAACACTTCATGAGACTTCAAAAGACTTCACGAGACTTCGTGAGACTTTAGAAGACTTCACTAGACTTCAAAAGACTTCAAGAGACTCCCGAGACTCCATAAGACTTCAAGATCGAAGTCTCTGCTGTTTCTCTCTTACAGTAATTGCAGATTTTCTCAGTGATAGTAGGGATAGTTTGGAAAAATTTGGCGTGTGCTAGATAGAGTTCGTTGAGTTTTATCTTGACCGATCGCTTTGGAGTCTTGGTTCTCTATATGAACAGATCCTTTCAGGATATAGTGGAATCCTAAACTAAGATATCTACGTTCCTCATTCTTGACGTTTGCACGATTTTCGGCGAATTTAGAATGAATTTTTGGATTTCAAAAAAGTTTGAGATGTCTGCTGTTTAGTTGTGTTATTCTTCGAAAAAGCATAAGTCGTTTATAATTCATGGTGTAGCGAATTTACATACGTTTTTTTTCAGATTTTTGCTTTACATTCCTCCAACAAAAGAACAAAAGCATCATAGGATAGAAAATCTCTCACAGGTGTTTTCCCAGATCATTCATGAAGTACAAATTTGCAATATGTTAGCATCGCGTACGCTCTTTAGAATACTTCTCAGTGTTTCATTGATTACAATTGGCTTATATGTCTACTCAAAGTGATCTGTTCGACATGAATCTTTTCAAAATGCTTCAAAACAATTTTTCCTTCCAGCGTTAGTCAACTGTTCGATGTTAGGTTTCGGTGATCTTACAACCAGTAAAACTCCGGTTTACGACTTTTTTATCTTTGACCATGAACTTGATATGCTTGAAATTCGCCTCTATGAACTGTATGATCATGTTACTCTTTTTCTGATTGCGGAAAGTAGCCAAACATTTAGTGGAAAGCCCAAAACACTCTATCTAAAGGAAAATTGGTTTCGTTTTTCTAAATACCATGATAAAATCCGTCGCGTTGAAGTAAATCTTACTGATAATGACTAAAATGTAACGAATTCTTGGATGAAAGAAGCAAAAATGAGAAATGATGGTATCCAGTTAGCTTTGCCGAGATCACCTAAGTAGTGATATTTCTTCACAAATTAATTGTATATTCTTTTTTTTTAGGAACTTTATACTACTGACATCAGACGTCGATGAAATACCCAAGGCTCGTTTTGTCTGGACCTTAGCGAATTGTGATCTTCCTATTTCGTTTCCATCCTTGCTACTTAAATGTGACTTCTATTATTACTCGTTTGAATTCCGCAATGACATTAAACCATATTGGCCAGGTGGCACTGTATCTCGAGTCAGTTATGATGCACCTTTATTATCTGATTTACGCAACGCTCGTCATAATTTACAGCCAATGTTTGGAACTTGCTTCCACTGTTCTTATTGCTTCGATCGTATCTCGGATGTTAGAGAAAAACTTAGCTCATTTTCTCATACAGAACTGAATATAGACAAATATCGTAATCAGCAACACATCATTGACAGGTTTCAAAAAGGTAAAGACCTTTATGATAGACCAGACCAACCATTACGTCGGGTCAAAGCAAATGAAATAGAACTACCTAAACTCTTAAAGGAACGACCGGAACCCTTTATGTATCTTCTCAACAGGTCAAACTTACCTAACGCAGCCTTCCGAGATATCCGTTAAGATTTTCATCAGCACACAAGGATCTAAAGAAAATAAAAAATCAATAAAAGGTTTCGTTTAAGTTATTATTTTCAAAACTTTCATGAAAAACTCACGCGAATTTGATTCTTACATAAAAATCAACCGTGACTCAATTACTTTCATTTTTTCTATATTTTTCGTCCCATGAATTTGATTCCGTCCCAGATGTTGTCGATGAACCAAAATTACTACCCCTTCTCTTCAAGGAAGAATCATTTATATAGACCCGTATGGGTGTGGGGTGGGTGTAGGTGTGGGTGAGGGTCTGATGATGGTTGTAGCTGTCGGGATCAAGAGTTACTTCCAAATTCACACCCATATCGTTTATAGATATGCATAATTAAGACTTAGAGAAGTCTAAATAAGAGATTTGCAATTTTTAAGATGAAGAGTTTCTTTGACACGTGTTTCGACTTAAATAGCTTTTTTCAAAATATCTCAAAAATTAAACAAATCATTTAAAGAATATGAATAAAAAGTATCAGACAAAAAAGAGAAACTTAAATTAAGTAAAAAACGTAAGTTACGTATTGCACAAGTAACCATGGTAAAAGAGAGAATATAGAATCACACTTAGAGAAGTGTCCATAGAGCTGAATTGTAGATTACTAAGGGACTTGGATATGATTTTTATGTTGTACATAAGCATTAAGAAAAAGAGAAAAAAATGAAGATAGAGCGAAAAGCAAGAGCATAATGTCAACACTATATAAGGGGTGTTCCAGAAGTTCTGAAACGAAGGTGAAAATTTCTCATTTTCTTGTTTATTCAAAGCGAATCTTCTTGAAACTTTTATAGATTGTTGACCATAACTCCTATAATATAATCACAAAGTTTCAGATATATAGCTACTTCCATTGATGAGAAACTAGAAAAGCACTGTTGAGTCAAATTTTGACAAATTTTACAACAGCTAAATTTGATGTAAATGACAGTAAAATCGTTATTTCGAAGATCTTATTTTTAAATCAATATACACCAGATTTTCAAATTAGTCAGCATCTAGTTTATTATAATCAAAATAGTACATCAAAATATTAAAAAAAGATAAATTCAATCATCAATATGTTTGTATTTGGTTACCACCTTCATCAATAATTAATTTTAATCTTTGTGGTATTTTATCAATCATTCGTCGACATAAAGATACACTGATCTGATTCCATTCATTTTTTATAACAGTTTTTAAATGTTCAATATTATTATATTGTTGCCCTTGTAGTTTCTCCTTGAGGATACCCCAAACATTCTCAATAGGCCAGACATCAGCTAATTTAGCAGCACAATCTTTTGGTTCAATTCGATTAGGAAAAACATGATTAACAGCATTCAGGGCAACTTGCATCCGTTGCTTACGATCTTGATCATCCTGGAAGATAACATGTAAATCATCAAATTCTTTATTTGCTTTTTCTGCAACAATAGATTGAATAAATTTTGCATATCGTTCACCAGTAAAATACATTTTCTTTTGTCGATTACTGTTTTCTGGTCTGACAAGATTCAGCCACTCGTCGACAAAGATTGGAGAACCTTTAGGAAATAATCCTTGATAAGAAATACCTCCCCACAACATGACACTTTTTTTAAATTTTTCTTTTGATCTAGTCTTTAATTCGTATGGTATGTCATATTTAAATTCAGCATAAACACCTTCATTATGCTTGTTAGATTGAGGAGTTAGTGTGAATGTGCCACTAAAATCGGTATCCAAAACATAAACCCAATCATAAAGTTTACCTTCTTTTCGAACACCATATTTCCTTCGTAATTGTTTTGCTACAAAAACACGTTGTAGCTTTTGATTAGTTGTTAATTTTTGAACTGTTTCTTTCTTCCACCACTTTAAATTTAATGATTCTTTCACTCGCCAAACTGATGTCCTCGATGTATTAAATCCTTGTTGTTGAAGCTTCCTATTGACATTTCTAATAGATGCATTTTTGGTGAGCTGTAGATTAAGTTTTACAGACTGAATGTATTCATTTGTTGCTGTAGTACGAGGTGCACCAGATCTTGGTAAATCGTTTACTTGATTTCGCTTTAGAATTCTCCAAATTTTTAGCCTTAAACCATTTTTTGTTGTATAAGATGGTGGATTTTCTGATTGAACAAGAAAATTTGTGATGTCTTTGGCTTCCCATGATGGATTAAATTGCTTTAATTGTAATACAAATGAACGAAATTCTTTTTTTTCTTCCATTAATGGTTCATACAATATATTCTGTGTTAAATCATTGGTAAAGGACTGATACTCTTTCTTATATACCCCAGTCATCGGCACGTGCACAAGAAAATATATGTGATTAAAAGAAAAACTTTTCAGCCTGGTATATTTAATTAAAACGTCCTAGAAATAACGATTTTACTGTCATTTACATCAAATTTAGCTGTTGTAAAATTTGTAAAAGTTTCAAGAAGATTCGCTTTGAATAAACAAGAAAATGAGAAATTTTTACCTTCGTTTCAGAACTTCTGGAACATCCCTTATGACTTGATTATAAATTTTTTGTCATTGTGTCATTCATTTCGGTGTTAATATCATATCCGCTTTTATTATTATTATAATAGCAACTCGAAAACGTTCAACAACTCAAACACATCTATCTTACAAACAACATCTTAACAAGCAATTTCAAGCACATAAACATTTATTAATCAGTCCTATTATCTTAATT